AGGGCAAACATAACCTCCTAATGTCTGCTCATTAAGGTCATTAAAAAGGTACAACTACAATGGCTTGCTGAATAGTTGGCAAGCACAGTTCTGCAAACATTTTGATACAATGCTCCATATTCTTTTCTGCTTGCGACTTTGTGGGCTAAATTATGTGGAAGGACTGCTGCAGGGAAGGTTCTGGTTGGAGACAGGCGGTTGGACTTGAGGGCCTTTGGAGCTTTTGCAGCCCTGTAATTTACTGGTAGCTAGAGGCTACCTAACCAGTTCATTTGGTAACCTGCAATCTGCCCAATTTAAAGCAGGTACTAGCAGCTTTTTCAGTCAATACAAGAATAAAAGAAAATGATGAAATGATATTCCAGTTTTTGTAATTTCTCCAGTACTTCCAATGCCAGGCTTTTTTAGTGGCCACTCTGATCCTACAGAACACTCTTCCAGAGGACATTATAAGACCTACCTCCCCTCTGCAGTTTCAAAGAGGACCTAAGACTGAATATTTTAGAAGGGATTTTGGCTGATTTTTATTTATCTAATTGATTTATACCCCACCATTCTCCCAAGTGGGGACTCAGAGCAGCTTATATCGTTCTCCTCTCCTCCATCTGGATGATTATATTAAAGGTGTTATTACTATTTTAAAGGTTATACTCAGGGGTCATTTTGTAGAAAAAGAGGTGCAGGAGCTCATTAGCATAACTTATTTGCATATGCCACACCCCCTGACATCACCGGATGTGTGTCAGAAGGCAACACCCACCACTCAGGCTCGACTGGACTGTTTTGGATTGTTAGCTATTGAGGGGGGGGGGAACACACAGATATGCCCTCATAGAGGAGGGAGAGCTGGTACCTGAAGGCGGGCCGGGGGGGGGGCTCTGCAACTTACCTGGCTGCTTCTTGCTCCTCGTGGCCTGACTGAGGGGTGCAGGGAACAGGGGGTGGGGCTTGTTGCATATGCCCACCCCCTGGGCTCCTTACTGCCGGAGCTCTGCTCCTGTGCGCTCCCGCAGGAAATGACCCCTGGTTATACTTCAGTGTTTTTATGATGCATTGGTTTTATTGTTGTGGCCCGCCTTGGGGTTCCAGATTATTGGGGGAGAAATGTGAGTCTATAAATATTTTAAATAAATAAATGGGGTATTTATGTTAGTCTGTTAACAGCAAATAAAATAGGAATCCAGCAGCGCCTTAAAGTCTTTTTTTTCATTTTTAAAATGTTTATTAAGAGGAAGTATAACATATCAAGAAATATAATAACTGCAAAACAGTATACAACTGTCCTGAAAATCCAAAATTACAAACCAACCAGAGCAGCAGTCTCCTTAAAGTCTTAACAGGAATCTATTCCAATATAAACTTTTGTGAGTCAGGTTACTTTGATTCACAAAAATGTATACCAGAATAAATTATTTTAGCCTCTAAAATGCCACTGGATTCCTGTTTTACTTAATTTCTAGTAATGTGTTTTGTGTAGGGTACTCTCAGGGCTTTATGCCAAAGGGGATTATAGAAGCTTTGGGAAACATAAGCATGTGTACACATACTGTATAATGGCATGCAGTACAGTACAATAAGTTCATCTTTTGTATAGCCCACCATTTGTGTTGCTTGCTGAAGATATAGCCAGAAACAGGGATGAAACTTTAGTTTGAGTGTCCTCTATCTTGTAGGTCCACATAATACATGCATATAATAATACAGTTACAATATAACCTGCACAAAATCTGTTTACTGAGTCCGGACTGACTCACTAGAATTGCTAATCTCTGATGAAGGGAGCTTTGACTCTCAAAAATTTACACCCCCCAACAATCTTGTTGGTCTCTAAGATACACTCAGGGGTCATTTCCTGCAGGAGCGCACAGGAGCGGAGCTCCGGCAGTAAAGAGCCTAGGGGGCAGGCACATGCAACAAGCCCCGCCCCCTGTGCCCAGCAGCCCTGGGCCACGAGGAGCAAGAAGCAGCCAGGTAAATTGCAGAGCCCCTACCCCTGCCCGCACCGAGGTGCAGAGCCCGGGGAAGGCCTCCGGAGCCCTGCCGCCTGCCTTTCTCGGCACCTGGCTGGTGTGGGGTGGCGGCAGCAGCTTGATTGGGGATGGGTGGGCCATGGGGGTGGCGGGGCCTTGATGGGGGGTGAGGGAGCCCTGGGGGGCTGGTGGGGGTTGATTAGAGAGGTGGGAGAGCCTCCCTCACTCCCCATCTGTTTGCCGAGCTCCTGTACCTCTTTTTCTATTAAATGACCTCTGGGTACACTGGACTAGAATCTAGCCGTTCCAATTTCTGTTGCAGTCTTTAACTGGTGCTCAACAAGCAGAAATTCAGCAGATGGAAACTTTCCTAGCCATTGCATCTGAATGCCAGGAAGAGCTTCCCCGTTTACTGTCTGCTTGGCAGTCTTTTTAAGGAAGGGCTCCTGTGCCTTTAAAAAAGGAAGCTGAGGAAGGCAGCAGCAACCCAGGGAAGAAATGCAGAGTAGAGCTTCAACATTAATTGAAGTCAAGAATGATAGGGTTGAGTCATGAACAAAGTTTTAGTCCGGTGGCACCTTTAAGATCAACGAAGTCTTATTCAAGGCATATGCTTTCGGGTGCATGCACACTTCTTCAGATACAGTGAAACAAGACGTCCTCAACCATTACATATAGGTGGGGGGCAGCCCCGTAGCTAACAACGTTTTGTTTGGGGGGGGCAATGTTTTTCTATCACGCACTAATTGATCTATATTCCTCACATACTATAGTCCTCACATATGTATGCTCAACAAGAGGGACTATAAATCCTCTGTATTTTAATGTATTTCTTTTTTCAGAATAGTATATCAGAATACTGAATGTATGCAAGGGATATTAGGATATCTGCTGAAATACCAGCATTTTCTGTAGGGGGAGGTAGTGGTAAGTGCCCTCCCCACATGACAGGATGGAATGAAGATTCCCAGTCACTTCCCACCGCTTCCCACTTTGCACATCTTGATCTGCATCACGTTGCATGTTAATTTGCTGTTCATTCTCTGGCTATGAGTTTGAACCTTGCCTCAGATCAGATTCAGTGGAAATTATTTATTATTATTCACTTATGCCCTGCCTTTCCCCCCACCCAAGAGGGATCCAAAGCAGTTTATGTTATCCCCCCCCCCATCTTCTCCTTGCAAGAATTCTGTGAGGGAGGTTAGGCTGAGGCTGTGACTGGCCCAGGCTCACCCAGATTTCCTCAAACATTACATATAGTAGAGGAGGGCTTAGCAGCCAGGAAGGGCTAATTAGAGTCAAGATAACTGACCAATAAATGAATAAACCAATAAAGAAAGTCGTGTGTGTGAGAGGTATCACTAGTTCCTCAACCACGCCTGCGTGCACTTCTTGGTCACCTTCCTGCCCTCAGATGTAGTAGAAACTTGCTTATTGCCACTCAATGTTTAAAAAGTGTGTTTTCCCAGCTGGTCTCTCATATAAACTTGTAGCAAGATCTGTCATAACAATGCCCTTCAGTTATCTTCTTTTTAAAACAGGCTTAGTAAAGCTTGCCAACAACAAAGTAGAGTTACTTTCATTGCTTCTGAATAATCAAAGACTGGTGACATTCCCACCTTGAATTAAGGGTTGATCCAAACACAGGGTTATACAAGCAGATGCCGAGGAAATTAGTCAGATGAGATGTATGTAGCAAAAAGCCCAACCCAACCCTGTGGAAGATAGCCTCCCTGTTTAAGCACTGAATGAGTCTACAAAGATGCAGGGCAGTAGCCTCCTGCAACACAAATGATGCAATGGGTCTTCTCCAGGCTACATGTTGTTTTTTTGTTCTAGTGACTCTATAGTCCTTAATCAAGCTGCTGAGCAGTGACCCCTGGGCAAACAGCCCTGGTGGAATACATACCCCAAACCTGTCTAGCCGCATAGCAGCTTGAATACTTGGTCATTGAGGGATGCATAATTGAAGAGTTTTGATGGTTGCACATGGGTTTGCCACAATACGTTTCATACACCTCTCCATAAAAAAGCATAACAAATAAAATATGGGAAGAGATGTGGCAAAATTTATGTAGAAAAGCTTTAATGCACGAAGCTGCCTTATGTGCAGTCAGACCACTGGTACAGCAAGGTCAGTACTGCCTATCCTGACCGCTAGCAACTCTCCAGGTTCTCAAGCAGAGGTCTTTCATATCACTTATTACCTGATGCCTGTAACTGGAAGTGCTAAGGATTGTACCTGCATGCAAGACTGATGTTCTACCATTCAGCCATGGTCCATCCCCTATTTTACTTATTGTGCATTACTATATAGTAAAAACATTAAATGTCCTTTCCTTTTAATGAGTTTTTCTTTGTTACTTGCAAGAACAATTTCCGTCACACCCTCAAAAGTGCACCTTTACTGAGGTTCTAGAAATATGCAAATTTAAGCAATCCGTTGAAAGACAAAATGACTGTCAGTCAACTAGAATCCTTTAAACAAATTCTTCTATCACATACATATGCCGCTTCTTTACCCTGACTCAGAACACTGGTGCATTGAAGTCAGCGTTGCCTACAGTGACTGGTAGTGGCTCTTCAGGATGCCAGGTGGAGGTCTTTCACATCACCTACTACCTGATCCTTTAAACTGGAAAATACCAGGAGACTGAACTTGGGGAAAAGCAAATGCTCTTCCACCTGAGCCACAGACCCTCTCAGATCTTCACATTCAACCTGAAAGCCTAGCTTTCATTTCAAATTCAGATAAAGAAACCAATTATCCCATTGTTTATGTAGATGTTGATACTGGCCAGGAGACACCTTTAGGTGCCTTAAAGCAGTCCAGAAGAGGGCAAGATTTTATCTAAGGATTTTATCACTCTGCTTGCTCCTCATTCTTTCTCCATCTTACCATAATCATTAAGACCCTTTGCTTCCCCTTCCCACTACTACTACAAATCAAGCCACAGAAATACAAATCATACTTTTATTAAAGTTTAATCATGACAAATCAGCAATGTAAGCCAAAATTAATTTCCCAGTTAAAAAATAATAATTGGGGCAGAGGTGGGTTGGGGTTGGAGAAAATCTCTGACAAAACAGAAAGCCCACAGTGGCTCACTCAGCAAAGGAAACAGTAAAAACAAACAAACCAGAAACCATTTGCTTGGAGAACAAAGGGGCATTTTTGCTTCTTTCAGTGTATATTAAGTACATAGGTCAGATCAGCAACTGATATCCCCCACTTCATTACTAATCTTGGAGTTGTGAGAAACTGGAGCTAGAATTTGTCCATGAGTTTTGAGGAAACCAGTTCTGAAGACATTCCAAAGCCTGTTTCTTCTTATACTGACCTTCATTTCTGTTCAGGACTACTAGAGTGAGGCAACCAAGAGGAAAGACTTCCCCCTGCAAGTAAACTTGCTGGAAAGAATGTCACTGACTGAAATGCTTTTCAGCATTTATTTAACTCATACACTCGAGTGCTTCCAGACTATTTCTATTCACTGACAGAAGGCCTTACGTTTCTTAGTACAAATATGCCCCACAAGGGCAGGAGGAGTCAACAACCAACCTTGGGTGTCCTTAGCTGGCCAAGAGACTGGCTCTAAGGATAAATACACTGAGTTGCTCAGTACGTTTTGCAAGATGCCAAGATGCACCTACACAGAGAGCATACTCCAGATTGGACTACAGCCACAACCCAACTAGCATTCATTGGTCATTGAACAACCCAATTACACATAGGTAGGACCTACAGGGGACAGCAGCCATTTTAAAAAGTGCATTGGTAGACACAGAGATCTTTACTGGAGCTAACCATCCCACCACCATGTCACCTTCTATGTATCACACCCTTTCCCCTTTTACCATGATTACTGCAGTAAACTCTCTTTAAGTGTGGAGGACTTTGGATCTGCTCCCACTGCTTTCAGGCCACAGGATCTTCCTGCCTTGCAGGCCTCAAACTCAGTCTCTCTTTCTAATGAGGCTCAGTTCCATGCACACTGGGAGACATGCACATAGTGAGGTGCAGGCTAGATTAATTTAGACACCAGTCTCACTTTTTTCATTTGTTTTTGGAACAGGTTCCTCCTGGACCTTCTTCATTTCCAGCCCTTTCACCCACGTGTAGGCAAAGGAGCCACCTAACACCATCATGTTGCTAGTCCACCATAAGAAGCTCTTGGTTTCTTCATAGTAGCAGACAGCTAGTACTGTCTGGGCACATGCCTTGGCTGTCCCAGAGACATTGTGTGTTAGAGGGCTAGTAAATTTTATCTGGAGCCCTGTCACATAACCAATGGCAAATCCAAACAGCCCGCTCAGGGTCATCATGCCCCAGAAATAGAGGCTTCCCAGCTTATCGAAGTGGTACAGGCTCTGAAATTCACCAGAGAGCAACATGAAAGGCAAGAACAAGACACAGGCATTGATGTTGTTATAGAAAGTCAGACGCCAGATGCTGCCATCTACAGCAGGCAGAACTTTTTTAGTGTAAATAGCATTCAGTGAGACACAGAGACTGGCCAGGATTCCAAAGACTATGCCGGCCCATGACAAAGTACCTTCTGCTCCCTCTTGATCTATACCAAGCCAGAAGCCACCTGCAAGACAAATAGGATTGGTGACACACTAGAGACTCCGGAAAAGCATGAGAGAACATGAAATAAACAACTCACACATTCTTAGATTTCATGTTGGACAAGAGGTTAAGAGTGCTTTTAGAAATGCAAGTTCATATTATCTGGATGCAAGCCACTATGCTGTGCTTCCACAGTAAATGTACACATCATTGGGTAAAAGCAATCTCATATTTTGAGACAAATAAGTATTTTTCTAAAGCAAAAAACCTTCCACCTTTTCTCAGTTGCTCGACCTCTGTTTTTCTAGCACAAAAGCTGGGAAGGGCTATGGCTCAGTGGAAGAGCCTCTGCTTTGCACAAAGGAGGTCATAGTTTCAATTTCCAACATCTCCAGTTAAAAGAATCAGGCAGCAGGTGATGTGAAAGACTTCCACCTGAGACCCTAGAAACCCGCTGCCAGTCTGAATAGTCAGTACCAACTTTGATGGACCAATGGTCTGAGTCAGTATAAGGCAGCTTCATGTGTGCAAAAAGCACTGTTGTACTATTTTCCAGTCCAGATATCATAGAGATATCTAAAATTGTCAAGAACATCTCACATACTTTTAGCTTATCAGTCCCTCTCATCCCAGACCTTTTTCTTCTTTAAAACGCTACTTGTTCCTCAGTCTGCCCCTCTGAAGACTAGCAGCAGATAACATTTCATACTTTCAGTCTTACAAATTACACACAAAAAAACCCTCCCCACAAACACACACAGACCAGCGCAGATTAAAACTCATCTCTCTGACCTTCCAAAGCACGACAGAAGGATGCTGAGAAACACACAGTACTGCCATATACAAAGTCTGACAGTTGTCTAGGTCAGAACTGTCTACTTCAACTGGCAGTGGCTGTCCAGGTACAGAAAAGTCTCCTTGCCAAAAACCTGCACATCTGAGAGTCTTTAACTGGAGATGCCAGAAACTGAACTTTCTGTATGCACAGGATGTGCTTTACCACCAAGACACAGCACTTCCCAGAAAGAAGTAATTCGTCTGCATAAGTGATCTTAAGTAGACGCCACCAAGACACAGCACTTCCCAGAAAGAATTAGTCTGCATAAGTGATCTTAAGTAGACACCCTAAGGGTGCAATGTTGGGCACACTTTCTTGGGAGTAAGCCCTACTGAGTTTAGAACTTTCTATGTAAACATGCAGAGGTTTATACTACACAGGACACCCTGCTTGGGAACTTTAATATACTGATCTCCCTCCACAACTATAAAGGTGTCTGCTCAAGGAATCTTTGTCCCAACACATCAGAGATATTCTACTCACCTATGATCACCCCACAAGCTAAAAGGGCATAGAGGGAAGTGGTTTGTTTCAGCAGCAGGTAAGAAAGCAGCACGTTGAAGACAGTGGTGAGGGAGCGACCTACGTTGTAGAAAGCCACGCCAACATATTTGAGACACAGGTTGTTGAAGGTAATCATGCCAATGAAGACCACAGAGAGGGGCAAGATGCTGCGGGACACCTTGAGGTCCATGCGGATGGAGGGGAAGTCCAAGTAGTTTGATGGGCAGCAGGAGGCCAGAAGGCTCAGCACCTTACAGATGAGGACGGTGACAAAGCACTGGTAGAACGTGACAAAAAGTGGGGCATCAAGGCGCAGCGAGGGGCTGCCCAACAGGTACTTGTTGAGGAACACCATGGTGATGGAGATAAACCAGTACATAGAGACTACCGTGGCGATCCGCACGGCCCTGATCAGGAACGAGGGTTGCTTGTTACCAACCTCCCCCTCTTCCTGCTCGAGCAGGGGGTCTGATGAGCCGCTGAGGGCCATCTTGAGGATCCCGGATCGCTTCAGCTGGATCCTGTTCATCATGGAAAGGAGGGAGGCGAATTAGAGAAGCAGGAAGCTGCCTGGCAAATACTCACTAGCAGAGGGTGCCGCTCAGGTCACCGCCATGCATGGCAAGATTCCACTCTCACTCTGAGCAGGCACACACACGCACAGGGCACTTTCGGATCCTTGCGGGATCTGGAAGGTCAGCGCGAGAGAGAACGCTGCGATCCGAAGCTGGCTGACTTGGCTGTAAAGCCCATTGCAATAAAGGGCTATGCTTCCAAAGAAACATGCACGGAATCGGGATGGGGAAGAACCGCCAGGGAACGCGGGCACTGCAAAGGACTGCCAAGCACAGCCCTACACCCCGGGGACCCAGGAAGAAAGCCCCGTCCCTCACTTCCTCTTTGGCCCACCAGTTACTGCGCTTAGCTCCGGCTGCGCAGACGCGTGGCGCTTCTGGGGGCTTGGTCTCCTTAAAGGAGCCGAGTCCTCCCGATATGTGTAAGTTCTCTAGCGTCTCCTTCTAGTGGAGCGCTGTTAGAGAGGTCGCTTACCTTGGCAGCCGGAGGCTCTTCTTCCCCCTCCTCCCCTGTAACAGCGTCCTGTGCTACCAGGATGTTCGCTTCCTTATTCTCCCCTCGGGACCGCCCCACAAGGAGAAATGTGACAAAGGTTCCTTGTAGACATGCTTTGCAGTGCTGACCTGTTACTTCCCTCTAAGACCGCTAGGCACAGTTTTACCCTGTGCAAATCCATGCCAAAAATAGGGCTACCTGCAGAATTTCTGCTACCACTGAGTGCCTACGGGCAGCCTCTGCTCCCCCCGCCCCCGGATCAGGATTCAGACAGGGTGATTTTCAGGGGGGGGGGTAAAAGTTGGATCTACATGGATCCTCATGAATTCATATGATTTTTACATTGAAACGAAATAAAACTACCATCATATTGTAGACCATGTGTTAATATATAGGGGGCACCATAAAAATCACGCATCCACAGATTCGTGGCACCACAACAGCGCAAACACATGATTCCAAAGCACAAATCCTCATGAATTCATATGATTTTTACGCTGAAACAAAATAAAACCACCATCATACTGCAGACCATATCTTAGACTATAGGCAGCACTCCAAAAATCATGCCCCCATGAATTCGTGGCACCACAAAACTGCAAAAACATGGTTCCAAAGCACGGATCCTCATGGATCCTCAGGGTTTTTCAATTGGGTCACTCCAAACTCACCATCAAATCACATAACACGCCCACGTCCACAGCTTGCACCACAAAAATCATAGATCCACGGCTTCGTGGTGACACCATTCTGCAAAAACATGATTCTGAAGCACGGATCCTCATGGATGCTTGGGTTTTTTCTGTTGGGACACCACAAACATACCATGAAATCCCATATCATGTCCATGGCCACAGCCTGCACCACAGAAATCACGGTGCCACGGCTCTGTGGCAACACCATGCTGCAAAAACATGGTTCCGAAGCACGGATCCTTATGGATCCTTATGATTTTTGCATTGAATCACCCTAACATCACCATCAAATAATATGCCTTGTCCATGGCCACAGAATGCAGCACAGAAATAATATGCCTTGTCCATGACTTCGTGTGTATGTAGAGGAGTTAAAATGGAATGGGATGAATTCTTTTTACAATTTTTGGTATTCATTCCTGTTGTTTTTTTAATGTTGTTTTTGTGTACTGTTCTAGGAATAGTTCTTATAAGCTCTATCAACCTATCAGTCACAGAATACCATTTCTCTGGAAGAGAAAAATATTTCTCTGGGAGAGTTGTAGGGGGGTATGTGGAAGGAGAAGAAACCAAGAAAGAACGTTGAATGAGCCAGTTTGGTGTAGTGGTTAAGAGTGCGGACTCAAATCTGGGAGAACCAGGTTTGATTCCCCACTCTTCCACATGCAGCTGCTGGTGTGACCTTGGGTCAGTCATAAGTTCTTTCAGAGCTGTTCTCTCAAGGGCAGTTCTTGAGAGAGCTCTCTCAGCCCCACTTACCTCACAGGGTGTCTGTTGTGGGGATGGGAAAGGGATTGTAAGCCACTCTGAGACTCGGGTAGTGAAGGGTGGGGTATAAATCCAATTTCCTCCTCCTCCTCCTATCTATTGCCCTAATACCTTCCCATGGCTGCAAAGGAGATTACTCACAAGACTGAGGAAATCTCTGCCCTTCCCTGGATAGCCAAGGCAAGCCCAATCTCTTCAGATCTCGGGAGCTAAGCAGAGTCGACTCTGGCAAGTACTTGGATGGGAGACCTCCTTGGAATACCAGTAGCTGGGAGGGGGCAGGCTTTATTCAGCCACCTCTCTTAATATCCTCCAGGCCCCCAATAGGGGTCAGTCACCACAAGTTGCCATGCCCTCTAGGCACACAGACACTCAAAAGCACACACACACGCATAAAAATATTTAAGAAATCATAAGGGCATTGCTACAGAGCAATGGTATGAGTTACATTTACATTGTTTTCTTTCATGTAATAAAATATTTTTTCCAATTATATTTGCCTTTTGATTCCTCAGAAGAAATTATCTTTGATCAGGAGTAGATGGCTCTGCCTTGGGTGAATCCATAAAGTTCTGCTTACTATGGAGAATTTTGATAGAATAAAAGTTTGCTACATCTTTTATGAAATAATTTCCCAATCCTCATCAGCTAAGCCCTGAATGGATGGCAGCTAGCTGAGAGCTGCAGGACTGTTTTGCTTTAAATATTCTTCATTTTGTAAAGAAAGCTTGTAGGAAGCCAGGGAAGTCCACACAAAAGTCATGTAATAACTTTTATTCGACTAGCGTATAATGTCTCAGTTCTCAGAACCTTCAACAGGCTGAATCTTAAAAGAGGGAGAGGAGGATTTTAGGCGCAAGTCTTTGATCTGTATCTTGTGCAGGATATGGTATAGGTTCAGTTAGTTTAGATGATGCTAGATGCAGTTGAGCTTTAACCTTCTGGAAAGAAGGCAGGGGGAATAAAAGTGTCTGTCTGAAAAATATAAATGCCAGCAATGGCTCAAATGTCTTTCTTGTGTCAGGCAGAATGCACACTTCCCTTAAAAGGTTGAAAGCTGAGAAAAACATGGTAGCTCCCAGATTAATAAAACTGGAGAATAGTTTCAGTAATACACTAGGTATAGAAGCCAGAGTGGGTAATACTACCTAGTAGTTGTCAGGCAGGAGACCCCATAAATAAGCCTGATTTCAGATTACCATCTGAAAAATCCCTCCATTTCATGGGTCAGTTTGGTATTTACCAAAACAGAGATCAAAAGTAGCTATGCTAGTCCATTAAAAAATCCAAAAAACAAAAGTCATATAATATTTTTATTAGAACCAATCAAGTTATCACAAAGCAGTGTCAGATTGGATGTTAAAAAACAAAACAGAAAAAGGAGGGGGGGAGACATCCCAGGCCATGATCGTAAGACTTTTTATCTACTTCTTGTATTGCTGAGAATTATCATAGGAGGAGCTGGTTTCGTGTTGTATCTAAGCCTTCTGGGAAAGAGAAAATGGCAGTTTTCATTTGAGGACCAAATTTTCATTTGGTCAGATTCTCAAAGAGATCTACAAGAGACATGGTGCCCAAGGGCACAAATGGGACAACCCTAAAAGTCAAAGACGAAGAAATCAGAGTCTTAAAAGACATACCATTTGAAATAAGAAGGAAGAGAAAACAATATAAAAACTTGACTAGTTTTTTGCAGAAAAATTCCACACCATACAGATGGTTAATACCTGAGGGACTTGTCTTCAACTATAAAGATAAAAAAGAAAAGATTGACTCTGTCTTTAAAGCGAAGGTGTTTTTGGAACAGCAACAAAGACCAGCACACGACAAGACAGCAACAGAGGAAAAAGACTTGGAAGAAGAAGGCAGCGCATATGGGTCGGAAAGCTCGGGAAGCACGGCGGGCAGTAACCGAGAAGAGGACTCCAAATCAGATAAAGGGGTGGTGGCCCCAAAACTCCTGAAGGTCCAATGGAACTTTGATAAAAAGAAGCTTAGAGAAAAGAAGCTAAAATAGTATAAGCTTGAAAGTTAAATTGTTTAAACTGTAACTACCTGATGTAATCATATAAATACCAGTTTGTAAGGAAGCGATAAGAAATAATTTCATTCCATTAATTTTACTATAAAGGGAACTTTGTGTAAGCTAATGACTAATCATTTTGTATGATCCTTGGGTAGCTTATGTTTTAGTTTAGAGTTGTAGTGTTTGTAGTGTTGCTAGTCCTTGCAGTAAGAAAATAATAAAAAAGTTATATAAAAAAAACAATGAGAGCTTGGGTCCAATGGGAATTGTTTCCGCCGAAAGTCAGAGTCTTTCTGGATTGGTCTGTTCGCAACAGCGACCAATCTGGTTGCGTAGTTTTGGATACTGAGAGTCTTGTGATCTAAGCTTGTGATCTAAGCTCATGCTTGCAAAGTAATACAAATAACCCAATACATAACACCTCCCTTAACAAAAATTCTTAGCCTGGGTTTGGATAAGGACTTTTGGCAGGCTCCAACCCCAAATCTCCAGGTATTCCCCAACCTGGTGCTGGCAATCCTAGTTAGGGTGCCCACTATCTGTTCTTAGAATTCCAGAAGCGGCCATGGGTTCAACAAAGTTGGGAATCCACGGTTTAGCTAAGTAAAGTTAGTATGAAACCTATGATGTTTGTTGAGTGAAGTGTATTCGTAACACCTTTCTGTGAAGCCTATTGCTTTACTAAGAGAAACTACTTGCATAAGCATTACAGCATTGCTAGGCAACCAAGCTTGGTTCTGTCAGTAAAAAGGCGGGGGGAGGAGGGGGGAGGCCTTTCCAGGCCTACTTTGGCCTTTGTGGGAAACTAATTCGGGTTAGGCCTGACTAGAGTTGCCAGCTCCAGGTTGGGAAATTCCTGGAGATTTTGTGGTGGAGTCTACGAAAGCCAGAGTTTGGGGGAGGAGAGAGGCCTCAGCTGAATAGAATGCCATAGAGTCTGCCCTCCAAAGCAGTTATTGTCTCCTGGGAAACCATTGTTGCCATTCTCCAGGTGAGGACTGGAGATCACTCAGAATTACAACTGCTCATTGAATGGCAGAGATCAGTTTCCTTGGAAAAAAGTGGACTCTGTGTCATCATACCCTGCTGAGGTTGCCACAGCAAATTGACGCTGAGAGTCCAAGGCCAGGGCACTCGCCCTGTCTGTTGTATTTACTTCCACAATGGGTTGTTTTGCATTTGAACTGTACCTTTCAGCAAAATTGAGAAACCTTGTTCCTTACAATAGTCTTACAGTTGGATGCAGCTTTCACATCTGTCACTGAATTCCATCTATTATGCTTTTGCTTATTAGCATAAACTAACTATACCAGTTAGAGAATGGAAGACTCTTTGTAT